CTGGGCAGGGTAGCGAGCCCAGCTTTAGTATCGGTTGCGGTTTGTCAACAGCAAACACATCAACAGCCGCTATTAGCTCACATACATCCGTGTCCACAAGCATGACAAAGCCGTTGACCGTACCAACGAAAAGATGAGGAGATAGCATCGCGAGGGAGCACAAGGTGCCTATGGTCGGGATCCATAAGGGCCGGGAAGAGAAGCCTCCGAGTTACCTTCATGTTGTTGTGGAATAGGCACTTCATTGAAGGCCAAGCCCCATCCCGACGCCCCTCTGGCTTCCTCTCCACCTTCCTCTGACGTGGCTAGCTGCCACATAATCACAGAGTCGCTCGTCATGGTGACAAACTCCATCGCCGACAAGGGATTAACAACCTAGGGCAAAAGGATCGGCGGAGCGAAGCAATTATTGTTTTACAATTTCGATATCAACATCAGCGACCGGTCTCTCCGGAAGCTGCAGGTTTGCCGTTGCCAAGACCTTCGCCTCTTTACACGATTCCGTCCGAGGTAGTCCCCACACGATAAGCTGAGAGGAGACTACTACCGCTACCCCCAGACGTGAGCACACTGAAGGCATCTCACATCAGCGAGGCCTTGATCCTCTCCTCCTAAGTCCCATCGACGACCACATGATACTGCTAGACTATCAGCCAACAGCTTACAACAGGCAACTCTTTGAGGCAACTTAGTAGCGGACTGAACACGTCAACGAGCCAATCACACGTTAATGGAGTGAAGTGAAGGAGTGGTAGTACTATTGGCACTGGAAAATGGGCCAGTACGCAATATGCGGGTAAAAGCACAGAGATACCAGCAAACTAGCCCGATGGACCCATCCCAGCTCACCAGGGGCTCCACGAACTTGGACATCACCTCCCCTGCCACAGCACCATCCTCAGCAGGGGCGAGAGCTACCCCAGCCTTGACGAGGTCCCAGACGATCACCCAGCGACCATCATCAGCCGAGGCCAATAGAGTCCTCATCGTCAACGGACTCAAGTCCAGTGAATGAATTCTTCTCGGTCCAGGTATGCTGTCAGGTATGGTGAGGAAGGTGTCCCGATCTTCGACCAGACTGCCTAGATGCACCCAACGATGACAGCCAGTTGCTAGATGCCCCAGTTCGCTTAGCCACAATACAACTTCTCCCCCACTGCAGAAATGTTTATATGTAATCTTCCCCAAAGCTTCGCTCCGCTCAATCTCCTCGTTATTATCAGCAACCATCGGGACATCCAAAATGTGTCCCTCTTCCTCATCCTCCTCCTCAGCAACGTCCGCGGTATCGAGCTGAACCACCGCGTCGTCCCCCACTGCTTCGCTCGGCGCTGATGATAGTTTCCTCTCAACCTCTGGAGGTGCCTCCTCTCCCTCATCAACCCCTTCCATCATCGATTGGAACAGCCCTCGGCCTTCTACCGTAACTTTCTCACATCCCAACAGATCACCTCCGGTCTCTACTGGTCTCGACTCAACCCCTCTCAACTGCTCCTTTGACTCGACAGCCGTGAAGTGATACGGGAACGACCAAATACACACTTCAGCGCTGCTCAATGTGATCAGGACCTCCCCGACAGAGAAAACCTCCCTCCTGAGACCAAACCATATCGCTAGTCGTATCTCGCCGGCTTGCTCACGGTGGGAAGTGATGAGCATGATACGTTTGTTCTGCTGGCCGATGCAACGGGTCGTCACTACGGGCCTAAAACATGCACCATACCACACGCCTCACAACAAAGTCAACTACATCGCGATAATAATCACTAACTCTAAGCTGATGGTCAAGATGCCCGGCTGTGATGATCTTCCGACTGCCATCACAGTCTCGTAGGGTTGCACTCATATACAACCCAGTGATCATACCCTGATAAAGAGACTAGCCCTTAGGCGAGCTCGACGAGCACCTACCGCCAAAACACAGTTGATAGAATGCTCCAACAGGCCGGTATCAGGATCGTAAACTCGGACCCAGGAGTCGCTTAACCCCACGAGGAGGAGGGCACCATCCACCGAGAACTGAGAATAACTCCATACAAAGAGAACGATGGCCAAATAGAGGTATAAGATCCACACTAGTATAGTTAATCGCTCTCGATTGGAGAGTTATACTAGCTCCCATACTGTCAGGTAAATCGATACAACGACTGTGATAGAGCGAGCACTACATGCTCAGATGTCATACACACATCTATTTAGTGCCGTGATATGGAAAACACTAGCGAGAGATATATTTCACGACCCTGCATAGCGAGAATATCGCTTTTCCACGGAGCATTACACCACCCCACGTAAAACGAGCGAAATTCCACCCTACATCGTACAATATACGAACGATCTACATAATATACAGTACATGACAACCAAGCCATTCGGAACCATAAAGATTTGCCTCACTAGTAGTGAGTCACTACTCGAATGTTGCTGTAGAAGCAGCGTCATGAAGTGACCTAGAGCCTCCTGATTCCCTACCATAGCCCGAAATTAACGCCATAACTCTGTGTTGTGGTGATGGAATAACAACGAGACCCGCCGCACTACTATCACACAGCAAACCTCCTACTTCACACTCTTACTCTCGACAGATGTATTCCCATATTGCATACAGAAGCTTACCACGACTTTGATAATTGCGGTAACACCAGAATAAAACACGCTTTTATCAGCAATGAGCAGGAATACTCCTGATTTCCTAATCGATCACACGATCGATTCAGTTCTACCCCATTAGAACCCCTCTCACCGTGTAAGTCGTTATGGCCGCATCAGCACTCTGCATGCTGTTGAGCCTCAATACACGAGAGACCTCAAAGTCTGGCAACCGGGCGAGCGCTATCGCCCTCTCATGAGAGTATAGAGCAACCATATTATGATGATGATGGCCCGCCCCACGGAGGACGAAGGTCGGCGGCTGTATCTACCAAAGACACTATCGTTCCCATGATGCACCGAGGAAGACTACAATTTCACACTGTTATGGATAGTCACAACACCTTATGACAGTTGCACGTGTCACCCAGGAAAATGAAGTACCAACATCAAGACTCTACTGCTGATTATAATCACAATTAGAGCAGTAGGTTACACAATTACAACTATCGATCGTCACAACCTTCAAAATCGATCGATGCCAATGGGAAACAACATACCCTCACCACCACCACCAGTTGAAGACCTCTATCACCAAAATAGCTCTAGTGGAGTGACAGAACTTGAGGCTCCTACCACACCTTACTCGAATCATGTCATCGTCCTTCTTGTTCTTAGAGGGAACAACAGGGAGTATCGGCTTGGACGCGACCGCTTCAGGGCATCTAGTAGCCTCGAACCTTCGGGCTTCATCGTATATCACAATGCGGCCTGTGGTGTCCCCCGACAACAGCAGCGATGATGATGACGATATCGAGGCAAACGAGAGGGACACAACTGATGGGAATCACGTTAAACCATCGGTCGATGAGATACGCCTACCAGGACTGGCATGGTGCTTCAACTCGAACAGAGGTGATAAACTCTTGGCACCCTCCACCGCTGAGATCTCGAAGATCATCACAGCACCCGAGTCAAATCCAACCGATAGCAGCGGTGTTTCCCCGTCTTCGACGACTGATAGACTGAACGCTGGCTGGAAGGCCAACGATACGGGCAAGTCCTGAGGGAACTCATCAGCAACAGTACCAGGGGAAGGGCGAGAGACAAACTGGACCTTTGAGATCGAGCTGGGAACCGGGACGCATGAAAGCTATAAAAAAGAGCGAATCTTCTGTCATTTTTGTGATTACAATAGCGATGATGCGATGACCCCTCCTATAACATTCCTTGCAATTCAATATGCTAACACACTGATCTAAACGCCCTTGATTGGTGACGCCTAGCTGATAATACCGCGGCCATAACAGTAGACAGATGATCCATAGTTCCCATCAAGATGATTACTCTGTTAACCACGACTGATAGGAATTCTATGTCACCATTAAAAACGACCAAAATATTATTTTTTGTCGAGTTTCAAGACTTGGATTTGTGGGTAATCGAGCATGGGGAATCCAGTGGTAAAAGAATTAGGTTGGAACTCGTCAAGACGAGAGAAAAAAGTGCCCGCACAGTTAGCGAATTTCTAGATGGCGCGTACTGTATTCATCATCGCATCAATTCACATAATCTCACCGGTTCAGCCTTGAAGTCCAGTAGCGTCCTCGCTACTCCGTTATCGATGTCCCAAACTCGTATACAGCCATCCATTGCTGCAGTACACATTTTAGTCCCGCATGTCGATACCGCTCCACAGCGAATACCACTCTTATGCGATCGGCACACCACTGAGTATCTGCAACGACTATGGGTGATCTACCATGAGTATGACTATGAAGTCACTCTATGAAGCACTGACTAAATGAATTCAGAAGTGTCCTCACTGATTGTAGTTCACACATAAGTTAGGATAGAAGTGTACAGAAACCAATAGTAACTTCCCACAACTTCTTGGCAAGCTCCATACTGTCACCAATGCACATAGATGACAATCTGCAAATCTTCCCGTACTTCAGATTTTCACGGTGATAGATTTACGTTTCCTTATTTGTCCATCTCACTCGATATAATATCAGATCTACCTATTGATTTTCAGTAGGAGTCGATTAAATTTTGAGCGAATGCCCATCGCGAACAACTTTGCGCTACTCGTGCTGAAAGAATCCACCCAAAACCCGTCAAATTTGGGTAGCAAACTCGTCACGCATACTCAACATTCGTACGGACATTTTATAAAGAAAATAAAAATCTAAATCTTTTCTAAATACTTAGAGAATTTTTTCAGAATTTACTTGAAATTAAGTAGGACGCAGACTTCATCATTTCGCCTTCAGATGCACACCAGAGAGTCCCTCTGTCGAGACAGGCTGGCCACCACAGTGAACTCACTTGCATGCTTCCAAGTCAAGCACGCCAACACTGCCGTCCTGGACCGAGCACACCAGTTGGAGGTCATCTGGGGTGAGGTCCAACCCCAACACCGGCCCAGGTAACTGAAAGCCGATGATTTTCGGAAATTTTACTGTACCAAATTTCACGAAAACGCCACCTTAGCCTGCATATAATAATTAGTGAAGTCCAGAGGCCACACCCTCACATATCCATCATCACCAGCAGTCGATACGAAGCCTTCAGTAACGGTGATTGCCCATATTGGGCATCCATCCTCATACAAGCGGTACCTTACATATCAACATCAGCTCCGGAGTAGTAAGCGTCTATAGGAAGTGAAAGTGACATTGAAATGAAGTCGACCATACTAATAACCGACGACCGTGTGATCGAACAAGGGGATGAACTATAATAATATGTTAGTAGTTCGGAGTTCACTCACACGTTCTCCACTTGTCTTGTGTTGTAGTTCAGTTGTACCACCCTACCACACGCTGTGGCCACGAAGACTCGATGATGCAATACTGTCGCATCCGCTCCCATATCCTGTGTTATTCCCGACGACCCTCGGAGGCTCTTACTCGCTGAAAAGACACACGGTTCAGTGGTATGCAGCAGCACCGTATGCGACAACACGGCTACTCTCAAGACCAGTGTTGTAATATATGACCGCTTTCCTCAGTTGACCCTAGGAGTTTCCTCACTAACTATAGAGTTCATATACAAACTAGGGTAGAAATGCACAGGAACCCGCAAGAATTTCG